TGGGTGGTTCAGTTGGTTAAGCTAAGCGTGTGACTTCGGCCCAGGTCATGATCTCACGGTTCCTGAGTTTGAGCCCCATGTTGGCCTCTGTGCTGACAGCTTGGAGCCTAGAGCCTGCTTCGGATTCTGTGTTTCCCTCTCTCTCTGCCTCTCCCCTGCTCATACTCTGTCTCTCTCTCTCTCTCAAAAATAAACATTAAAAAAAAAATCTAAGACTCCAGGTGTTCTCTGAGCCGGTGTTGAAAGCAGGAGTGTTTTGCACCAGAGTTTGGTTGAAGGGAGTTTGCACTTACTCATGCGGCCCCCTTGGTGCAGTAGATGTGTCAGTGACGGGTTGATAATGTCAGTGGGACGTGTCAGCCACGACCCCGCCGCCCGGCCTAGCACGGGGAGGTGGATGCCCCTGCTGGCCTCTGCAGCGCCTGCCTGTGTGCCCACAGGTGACCCACAACCAGGAGAACGTGTTTGACCTGCAGTGGCTGGAACTCCCGGACGTGGCCCCGGAGGAGCTGGAGGCCCTCTCGAGGAACATGGTGTTTCACCTCAGGAGGCTCATAGATGAGCGTGACGAGTGCACGGAGGTGCGTGGCCGCACACACCTGCGGGAGAAGTCTGTAGAAACGCCGAGCTCGGGGCCCTGCCCCCATTCACGCACTCCTTGTCCCACCGAATATTCCAGCTCTTCCTACAAACTCGAGCCACCTCCCTCATGGTTTCTCCCCCACACCCGGCCTCTGCTCTTGCTTTCTCTTTGTCGATGGTTGGGCCAGGGCGCGGGGCGCACTGGTGCGACTGCTCTCCCCACCCCCCCTGCCCTGCCGCAGCTGATCGTGGACCTGACGCAGGAGCGGGACTACCTGCAGGCGCAGCACCCGCCCAGCCCGCTCAGGTCCTCCAGCGCCGAGTCCACCCCCAGCCCCACCAGCAGCCTCTCCAGCGAGGACAAGCAGCACCTGGCCGTGGAGCTGGCGGACACCAAGGCCAGGCTGCGCCGTGTGAGACAGGAGCTGTGAGTCCTGCAGGGGCCCCCGGGCTGGGCTGTCTTTCTGCTTTCGGGTGGTCTGTCGTGTGGTGCGGCCAACCGGAGCCCTCCGACCCGGGCCCCAGAGCCCGCTGCCCCGGGCTCGCTCGCTGTTTGAACGTGGACTAGTCCCCTCCCTGTCCGGGCCTGCACGGGGAGGGGTTCTACCAGATCTTTAGGGCTCCAACCAGCCCGGGTTACAGATGGTCTGCAGATAGCCTCTTGTCCACACTTGTCCAGTTTGGGGCAGGACTGATCACCTACTGGCATGTTTTCTTGGCTAGAGGGAGGATGCAACCCCACCCCACCCCCACGCCGCCACCCCACCCTGCCATCCGGTGAACCTGTTGTCGCCTCTTTTCCTGCAGCAGGAGAATGTCCCTGTGCCCCGTCTGGGGAGCTGCCCTCCTCCCCCTCACAGCCTGCTTGCCTGGCGGTGGGGAGTGCACCTGTGGCGGGAGCCTCCTTACCTCTCCCCCTGCCCCGAACCCTCACAGGGAAACCCAGTGTCTGGTGGGTGGAGTTTGAGAGCAGGCTTTGAAAAGTTAAAAGCAGAAGAGAATGCGAGTCAGGAACATTTTTGTAAGCCCCGTACGCACACTGCCCTCCTCCCTCCCAGAAGCCGCCGTCCCGCTCCCTGCTGTGGTCTCATGAGGTGGGGGGCCGCTCAGGGTGCTGGCTGAGGACGCTCCTCAGCTCTGTTCCTCCACATCGCCCCCAGGGAGGAGAAGACAGAGCAGCTTGTGGACACCAGGCATGAGGTGGACCAGCTGGTGCTAGAGCTTCAGAAGGCCAAGCAGGAGGTGAGCGGGAGGGCCTGTGCGTGTGTCCTGGAGGAGGTGGTGGTGGCCGAGACTCCACAGTGACTGTGGCCCAGAGGCTCAGGAAAACAGCATCAGGAGCTTCCGTCAAAGGCCTCTGTTTCTGTCTGCTCAGAGTGATGCTGTCTGACAGCCAGCTGTCCTGAGAACTGCTGTGGGGGGACGACCCTGTGTCTTCGTGACAGCCTGTGGGGGGACCCCACGCAGGGGCCTGCACACCGACCTGCCGGGCCCCCCGGACCCGGCTTCTCCTGGGATGTCCCGGAAAGGCTGCACTGCAGGGACTTGGGCCCCTCTCCCCTCCCCGGAGGGGGGGCCCTAAGCTGGCTTCCCCTGCCTTTTCCCACCCCCCAGAACATCCAGCTGGCGGCTGACGCCCGGTCTGCCCGTGCCTATCGCGACGAGCTGGACTCCCTGAGGGAGAAGGCGAACCGCGTGGAGAGGCTGGAGATGGAGCTCGTGCGCTGCAGGGAGAAGCTGCACGACGTGGACTTCTACAAGGCGCGCATGGAGGTGAGCCCACCTTCCAGAACACGTCCGCGCCGGCCGGGAAAGGGAGCTGTGAGATCTCCATGGCGAGGCTTTCCCTGCACCTCAGCCTGTCTGTAGGCCCAGGAGGCTCCCTCCCTCAGCTCCTTACCCACCTAGAGGTGTCACATGGGTGAGGGAGGGGAGGGAACGTGGTTCTGTAATGAAGAGCTCAGACTCCTTTTAGGATTTTTCCTTTTCCTGCTTCCTGCCACAGTGATGACCTTCAATTCGTGGATTTTTATTTATTTTTTCCTACTTCTTGCAGTTTCTGTGGCTAACTCTTACAGGGAATTAGATTCTTCGTCCATAAAATAGAAATAATCATACCACTTCATGAGTTTTTCCAGATGAAAGACAAAAAATACCTGTCACTCGGGCAAGTCCCATAGGAAGTCCTCAGTCATGGAGCCCGCTCTGATCCCGAGGTTCTGGGAGGATGCAGGGGAGGGCGTCAGGGCTAACGGGGGACTGGAAACCGAGACCCAAGTGGGGTTACCAGTGCTTCAGCTGCTCACCCTGACTGCCTCATGTCAGCCACGGGTTCCAGGACCCACTTTCCCAAGGATTTGGGGACTTTGCCCCTATCAACAATCCCAAGGTGGGGTCTGGAGGTAGTTTTAATGAGATGATGAAATCAGGATGTCAGCCTGTACCAACCGGGCTTGTTTGGTAAGAAAGATTTCCAGTTTGGTAAGAAAGATCTCATTCAGGAGGCTTTTGAGGGGACCAAACATGGGTCTGGGGGGCATGGTATCCTTCTCCCAGCCATGCTGCTGGCAGGCCAGCTTGGGGAAGGCTGTTTGGCTGAACACCCGGACGCGCTCTGCTGCTACAGGCAGGCCCTGCCCACGGGCCACGGGAGGTGGTGGGGAAGGCTGTGGTGCCGGGCCCATTTGTTACCCAAGAAGTGTCTGTTCCCCGAGGAATGTGACGCCCTACCTCCTGCAGAGAAGGCACCTTTGGTACTGTGGCTTTGGGGTGCAAGAGGTGGGGGATGGGAGACCACCTCTGGCTTTGTCCTGGAAATGGTCCACTGGCCCCGCTGAATTTGAAAGGCATAAATCCCCAGCACAGACAGGTTCTGGGACACGGGCATATACCGGGGCCTTTTATCGCTTACTAGAAATGCCACAGTTGAGAGAATCAGGGGGAGTCCCGCACATTTCCCCAGAGTGCTGCCCCAGCAGCCCCTTCTAAACAGTGCAGGCCTTCCGCAGCCCCCAGATGGGATCACAGGCAGAGTGTGGCTCCCACATCTCACCCCAGTTCTGTCCCATGGAGCAGGTGGGCATCGGGATCCAGTCTCTGTCTCTGTGTGCACCCCTGGCCCTGTCCAGGCAGCCTCACACGGTCATCCAGACACGGTGACTTAGCGCCTGTGTGGTACCAAGGCCTGCACCAGCAGCTAGGGATCTAAACCCCAGATGATGCATGCCCTGCATTCACAGAGCTTCCCGACTTTTAGGGTTTCTCCCAGGACCCCCCTTTTCTCAGACTTCTCAAATTTTCAAATTTCATGCCTCTGTGTAGTAACAGCAACATTTTTCATATTGATTAATTGCATAGTGAAAAGTTACTGGGAGCTTGGTAATGCCTTGAATTTTACTTTAGTTTTTATTCACCACAAGAGAAATGGTGTGTGTCTGCTTGAGGTGTTTACTTTGGGGCAGGCAGGGATACGCATGGGTTTGCAGACCCTTTGCCGCCCAGGCTGGCTGATGAATTGGGCGTGGTCCATGGAGTCCAGGCCACTATTGAGAGGATGAGTCTTGCTGTGCTGGGATGCCCCTGATGACAGGGTTCAGTGGACAGGAGCACTTGGGCACTCATCCTTAGATCTCAAGTAGTCACATCAGCCTTTCTCGCTGTCTGGAGGGGGCCAAAGACTCCAGCCATGGAAGGTGCATGGCATCTTCAGGAAGCGTTTTAGTGAGGGGCATGGCATGGTTTGGATTTCAGAAAGCACATTTTGGGTTGCCAGGTGGGGAACGGACCAGAAGGGGCAACAGAATGCCATGGGCTGTGGAAGTCTGCCAGCCAGATGGGCCCACCTGGGACCCATACACCCTCTTATCAGCCAGGATGGGCCCATCTCCAGCCTGGTGAGCTTCCTCCCTCTCCTGGCCACAAGGCTGCAAGCTGCTGAGCGTTACTTGAGCAACATCTGTGTGTTCTCATTCATTTCTCAAAGCAGCCCTGAGGACGAGCTAAGCTTGGGGAGGTTGGATGGGCTGCCCAGGGTCCATTCTGCTGCAGCTTCTGTGACTCCCAGTGGCATGGGCCCCAGAACGGGGACTCTGCTTTGTTCATGGGTATGTGCTCAGCATCTGGACCAGTGTCTGGCCCATGGGTGGTGGTGGATGAGCATTTGCTGAAACAATTGTATCCGGAGTTTTTTTCTTGTTTTTTTCTTTTTTCTTTCTTTTTTTCTTTTTTTTTTAGTATTTATTTAATTTTGGGAGCGTGCAAGCAGGGAAGGGGCATAGTGAGGGGGACATAGGATCTGAAGCAGGTTCTGTACTGATAGCAGTGAGCCCGATTTGGCCCTCGAACTCCCTAACCTCGAGATCATGACCTGAGCCGCAGCTGGACACTCAACCGGATGAGCCTCCCAGGTGCCCCGTATCTGGGGTTTTCTTTGATCAGCGTTTATAGAGCTTGTTGCTGCTGGGCCGCAGTAGAGCCCCTGCCTTCTCCGACCCCTGTGCAGGCTTCCCCTGGCCTGCTGCCTCCCAGGGCACACTGGGGTATGTTGGAAGTTAACCTAGAATGCTGCTTAGAGACCTCAGGACAGGTTGCTTTGGGATGCAAGCCAGTAGTACTTGGGGCCTGCAGGGATTGAGGTGGGCTGCCTGTCCCCAGACTTAGGGTCCCGGGCCTGGGCCGCTCAGTCCTTCTGGTGCTTCGTGTCAAGGAGAAGCACTACCTTGGGGGCGCCTGGGTGGCGCAGTCGGTTAAGCGTCCGACTTCAGCCAGGTCACGATCTCGCGGTCCGTGAGTTCGAGCCCCGCGTCAGGCTCTGGGCTGATGGCTCAGAGCCTGGAGCCTGTTTCCGATTCTGTGTCTCCCTCTCTCTCTGCCCCTCCCCCGTTCATGCTCTGTCTCTCTCTGTCCCAAAAATAAATAAACGTTGAAAAAAAAAATTTAAAAAAAAAAAAAAAAGGAGAAGCACTACCTTGATGCACGGGTGTGGTTTTTGGGCCCATGTTTGTGTTTCAGAAAACAGTGATGCCCAGCTTTGTACGTAAAACCAGATTTTCCAGGGTGTAGTGATGCACACCTCCAAGGGATTCACCCCAAGATTCTTGAATAATTTCTAAGTAATTAGAAGTACGCAGTACCATGCAGAGATGTGTCTGTGAATGGAGACTGACCTGCATGTGATAAAACCTTAGATTGGGAAAGACCCGATTACGATGTTTACACATCCAAAAACTTAACAACAGAGAGATGGGGGGATACGTGACAAAGCAAATATAGCAAAACACTAATTACAGAATCCTGGTGATATGTGTATGGTGTTCAGAATATTTATTTCCACGTTCTAGTAGGCTTCAAAATTTCCATAATAAAATATAGGGGGGCGGTGGAAGGTAAAAAGATAGCAGTAGATGTTAACCCTTTTGAATAAGCTCATACGTGATTAACATCAGCTTAATAATAGTTTAAAATACTGAACAGCCCCATGTGTTAGATCGCCATTTCTCAAGAGGTGGTCTGTATCCACCTGTATCTGAGTCCAGCATGCCTGTTCAAAATGCAGATTCCTGGGCCCCAGAAATGTGTGTTCTGAATGCTCTCTCCCAGATGGCTTTTCAGCATTGCCAAGCGTGAGGACCACAGTCATATGAACAGGGTACTTTCCTCCGACTGCTGGCTTTTCTCTGCAAGAGGTGGGGTTGGCAAGGCTGACGGCTAGTCTGTGGGTGGACCTTGGCCTGAGGCTGCTTGTATGGAACTCGAGCCCCTGAGCGCAGGGACTAGGTCTTAATATGACGGCGTGGCCAGGGCCTGGCACACACAAGGCACTTGGTAATCACCCCACAAGTCAGGGAAAACCCCATCACTCAGCAATAAAAAGACTTGATCTGGAGGAAAGGACAGGAAGAACCTAGAGCTTTTTTCTCTTGGAGAATGGGGTAGTGGTAGGTGTGATGGTCAGGAGGGCAGAGAGAGGAACAGGATTGACACGTTCGTGCCAGCTCACATTGTGGACACCTACCCTGTGGGGGACGCTCTTCCAGACACGGAGAGTGGCAGGAGAGTGGCAGGCGGCCCAGGTGCCCTCCCCGAGAGCCTGTCGAGTCTCCCCGCTGAGAGACACATTAACGCCTATCATGGGAGGCAGCGTGTGCTCGTGCCTCATGGGAGGAAAAGATAAAAGGCCTTGGGGTTCAGGACAAGGGCAAAGTTAATTTTGGTTAGAAAAATATGGACCACAAATTTCCATGTTTTACCGTGAAGCTTCTGGCAGCTTTTCCCTGCCTCCCGGTGTAGTTTACGTGAGGGTTCACACTACAGGACGAGAGTGGTGTGGCCATCCCTGGGAACGGCGGGAAGCATGGGGTCGGTGCACCGGGTGGTCCTTGGCTTCTTTGCAAGCACTTGTCCCTCCTCGCTGCTGTCAGTGAGCCTTGTGGGAGGAGGACAGAGGCAGAGAGGCTACCCGGACGTTCCTCTTGTCCTGTGATTTGGTTTTGGCTGAAATTTCCAACAGCAGAGGACAGGTGCTTCAGTGCCATGTGCATCTGTGTGGGGTGGAGGTAAGACAGGCCTTGTCCTTGCTCCTATGTGGGATTTATGGCTTCCTAGGCAGTGCTGGCCCCAAAGTAAACAGTCTGAGAGGCAGAGACCTAGCAGGGCACAGTCCTAGCTGCCACCCCCCTTGCCGGGTGTTCTGTAAAAGGGCATTGTGCACTATAGGAGCTGGTTTCCGGCGAGCTGATCCTAGCAAGCCCTGGGAGCTGATCGTACGGGGGGGGGGGGGGCTGTTGGCAAGGCAATTAGGAGCTGGGTTCATGATCAGTCCACCCAGCCCCAGATGCTCCCCATCCTCCAGAGCCCATTTTCCCACCTGCTGGCACATCCCTGCCGCTGTCCAGGGCAGGTGGAAGGGGGAGTGAGGGTCTCTGCCCTACCGGCCTTGTCTGTCGTTGCTCATGTGACCCCACAGCCTACACACAGGATGTCTTCCACGGGTATCCAAACTGGCCATTCTGCCTCTGTCTGTCCTTGTCCACATCCCTCTGCGTCCCCCAGCCTTCTGCTTCGCACTTCACCTCCTGCAGGCCCCAGGCAGTGCTTCATGTGACCCCGGGCAGTGCTCCTCACATGGTGCTGTGATGTGTGTTTTTCTGTTTCCTGCCCACACTGGGAGTTCCTTGAAGCCCAGGTCCGTGCCTGACTGACTTCGAGCATGTTATGTAGCTTGGCGATGGCCAAACTACAGCCCATCTAGGGGTTAGACCTGGCGCCCCCATCCACCTTGTAAGTATAAAGTTTTACTGGAGCACAACGGCATCCGTCCGTTCGTACATTTTTCTGTGGCTGCGTTTGGTTCACCTGCAGGGTTGGATGGTTGTGAAAAATTTATGACCTGAAAAGCTGAAAATACTTAACTGCCTGGCCCAGAGTAGGTGCACAGTAAGGTGTTAAAGAGCAGTTATAACTGTATTTATGAAGCTTTTTCCACATGCTAGGAATGGTTAAGCTCCAACTACATCACCACGTGTAAGCCTCATGGTGGCCCACAGGGTTCAGCAGCCACTGCTAAACATGTTTTCATGGGAGAAAACTGAGGGTTGATTTACAGTGTCTGCATTTTGCCGTCAGTACCGAGGTTGCATTGAAATGTGTCTGCCTGCCTGCAGGGCCTTTGCCTTGACGGGGAAGGAGATAAAGGCGGGGGAACTCACAGAGAGACGCAGCGGTGTGGGGGGGGTGGAGGTGGGAAACAGGTGCTCAGGAGGGCGTGATGGTGGCCCCTGCCTCAGACAACACCGTGAAAGGGCAGACGGAGGCCCCGCCTCCAGTGGTCCATGTGGGAATTTGGATGTCGTGTCGTGAGTGGGGAACGTTAAAATTCGGGGAACTGAGTAAGAACCTGGGACATTCATTGTCTGTTTACACTTGGGACTTTGTGTTTCTCCATGTTTCTTAACGGCTTCTAAGGAGTGCTGATAAAATTCGGTACATAGGTAAAAACAGGGCAGACAAACCTGATGTTTGTACCGATCACCACACTCCTGGAGGCAGGTGAAGAAAGGGCAGGTGTTCTAGGGAGCCAAGCTGATGGCAGTGGGATGGGGCGAACAGGTGGAGTTTAGTGAGGGGGCGATCTTGGCTGAGTGAGCAGGAGGTCCACCTGCCCGGTGTGGAGTGCCCCCGTCCCCGTCATGAGGACACCTCCGGACTGACTTTCCGTTGCTCTGGGTTCCGGAGAGATGCATTGGGTGCTGCGATCTGAGTGCAGCGGGGAGGAACCGGTGGTTGGTTTGATTCCACCTCCCCCCCCCCCCCCCCCCGCCCCGCACCTCTGGCATTTGGTTGTTGGGGGTCAAGGAGGCCCCCTGGAAACGAGTGTTGGCCTGTTGCTTGGTGGCTGGATGCCTGGGGAGTGCTGGGCTGACCACAGGGGCATGAGGGAATGCCCCTATCTCACTGGGCCTCAGGCACTGTGCACGGAGTATTTGACAAGCATTACTGCGTCTGATCCCGTATCGGCCCTACTTGTGTGCCCGTCGCAGAAAGGAAGGATCCACAGTTGAGGGACATTCACTTGCTTCACATCCCATGGCTAATAGTGCATTGGCAGGCCTGGGAATCGGAGCCTGTCAGCCCACATTCCCGGTCAACGCTCCCGGTCAGCACGACAGATTAGCTGGGACAGCTCTTTAGCCCCTTGGGGACCAGCCATCAGACCTGGCCCATGACTCCCTAAATGTGGCCCCTCAGCTGTTCGCAGGGCTGGGTCAGGCTTTTAAATAGCCTCCTGGTTCAGTTGAGGTCAGATCTGCGGGGGGCAGGCTGGCTTCAGGCAGCTGCCCAGAGGGGAGGAATACAGATTCTCAGTCATCTGGGCTGAGCCCGCAGCTTGCCATAGGAGCTGGGGCACAATTCCACGCAGTTCTAGTCCCTCCCTTCTGAGGTCGTGGGGTGTCCAAGACAAGCTGATGTACTTCTGTTGCCTAATATGTGGTGGAGGTTGATAAGGCCAGAGGATTGAGATATAGTTGAATAGTAGTTAGAAATCACCCTGTTCCATACTGTGTTTCACTCCTGGATACTCTTATCCGTCCCTGCCTGTTGGAAGTCGCTGAGTCCTTGAGGGCCCACCTCACATGCCCTGACTCCCCCCGCCCATCCCACCCCACCCCTGCTGCCCACCCGTTTCAGCCAACAGTGTTATTGAACAAAGCTATGAGGCTCACAAGGGCAGAAATGGAACAGCCCTACCCTGAGGAGTTTAAGGTCTGGGGTAGGAGGGCAGGCCACATTGCCTCACAGCGTGTCCAGGGCACTCTGGGAGCCCAAGTACCTGGTTCAGCAAGCAGGACAGAGTGAATTTGCAGGCATTTCTCAGAGGGGGCAACTCAGGCTGGGTTTTGAAGGCTGATCAGGAGCTGGTTGTGAGGATGAAGGGGCAGTCTGTGCTGTGGGCACGGAGAGCCCAGTAGTGAGGTGATGGTGGAAAGTGCTGGTGGGTGCAGCTGCTGGAACTCAGGGTGTGAACAGTGGGGGCAGTGGCCAAAGAGGAAGGGCCAGCCTTCCTTTCTGCTTGACACCCCCATGTGCTCTGGCTCACATCATTATGGCTGGTCTGGGCCTCTTTCCCACGTGAGCCCCTTGAGGATGAGTTGTCAGCTGAGGGCGGTGAAGAGAACACATGTCTGGACCTCTCTAGCCAGAGCTCAAGTCCCAGCTTCGCCTCTCAGTGGCTTTGTGACTTGGGGCTCATGGCTTACTTTAAGCCTCTTCATCCGTAAAAAGGGTCTGTCCCTGCCTCCCTCTCGGGGCTGTTGGGACGAGTGAGGTAGAGGGTGTGCCCAGGGCAGGGCCAGCTGCACAGTAGACAGGGTCTCCGACAGAGAGGACGTCTAGGTAATCTGAGTCTTAAACCCTTCACAGCTGCCACACTTTGATCAGAACCGTGACCACTGACCGGAAGGCACGTGGTTTCCCCCTCGACCAAGAATCTTCAGTGCAGGGAAGACACACATGTAGTGGATAAGCAAGAGCTTCCCGGTTGTTAGGGGGGCAGGCCTTTGAAAACTCTGCAGACACATTCCCACATGTGTGTGTTTGCATGCACCGTGAAGGTGTTTTGGGAAACTGCCCCTCCAGAATCCTGAGTGGTGCCGGAAGGGCTCTGAGGGAAGAGAAACCAAGAAGCCCCGTAACAAAGAGGGAGGAGAAGTGGAGCAAATGAGCCGAATTCCGTCGTGTGTGCTGGGCTGTCTGGTGCAGGAGCAAGAGTCCCACTGCCCCTCGCCCACAAAGGGGGTCTTCGAGGGAATGGCCATCATGTTCCACACCCAGCATGTGCCTAATACACAGGGGGCCGGTAGCACTTATTTTGGGGGTTCCCATTTGTTTGTGACCTGTCTCGGAGACTCCCCATTTCCAGAAAACTGCTGAGAACTGTTGTTCTTCCAAGAGTACGTATGTGACAAGTTCAGATAGGAGCTGGGTATGGAACAAAAGCTGATCTCAACAGCTACCTCTTCCCAGGACCCTGACTACAAAGTGAATGTTGAGTCTACAGGACTAGACTCAGCCCTCGAATCCGGGACAGACTTGTCAGCCCCACCTCTTTCTTGTTAAGGAAACGGGGCTCGGGGCACCTGGGGGGCTCAGTCAGTTAAGCATCCGATTCCTGATTTCAGCTCAGGTCATGATTTCACGGTTCATGAATTCTCTGAGCCCCACAACGGGGTCTGTGCTGACATCACAGAGCCTGCTTGGGATTGTCTCTCTCTCTCCCTCTCTCTCCCTCTCCCCCTCTCCCTCTCCCTCCCTCCCTCCCTCTCCCTATCCCACTTGCGCCCGTGCTCGTTCGCTCTCTCAAAAATAACAACTTTAAAACAAAAAGAAAGAAATGGGACTCAGCAAGGCCCCATGTCTGTCAGCAGAGTCCACTTGTCCAACCAGATGAGGTTTTAAATGGCAAACGTCTTCATACCATGGGCAGCATAGACATCGAGGAAGTGTCTACTGAGGAAGACACCAGATTCAACCATTTTCTTGATCCGGGGGCTTTTCTTTCAGTAGGGCATGCCCATTTGGCCTGGCCCAGTGAGAAAGGTGGGGGTGCTGAAAGGTGGAGACGTACCTCCCACCCCTGCACAGCGTCCTCACCCCTATGTTGTGTGTTTTCGGTCCAGAACCCTGGTTGTGAGCCAGATGCCTTCATCTGACGGTTCTTGTGTATGTTTTTGCTGAGCAGGAGCTGAGAGAGGACAACATCATTTTAATCGAGACCAAGGCCATGCTGGAGGAGCAGCTGACTGCAGCCCGGGCCCGGGGCGATAAAGTTCACGAGCTGGAGAAAGAGAACCTGCAGCTGAAATCCAAGCTTCACGACCTGGAACTGGTATTGCCAGCTCCCGCCACTACATCCGAAACAGATTGGGGCGGTGTCCAGTTTATGCCGTGCCCTCCTTGGGGCTTTCACCCCTGGGCTCTTGCTGCCGCCGCCACGGTGGCTCATGAACCATGGTGGGCAGCTTGCTAAGCTCAGCGCAACTGAGTGGGCAGCACTCGACGCCCATGACACGGGACTCGACTGCTTGTGCTCTTCCGTAGGTGTGGGTGTACGTGCATGTCTGTGGCAAGAAGGTCCTTGCTGGCCTTCATGGTGCGGGTTGAGCTGTGATTTTGTGAGTCTCTGTACAGCCTCTTCAAGGTGTGTGAGGCCTGCTCGAGGACCCCAGAACCACCTGTCGTCACATTACTTGCTTTAAAGCC